AAGATATTTACTTACTGCAAATCATCTTTAGTTGCTACCTTCTCAGATAAGTCCAATAAAGTTCTAAAAATACCAAATTTTAAATTTACTACTCAGAAAATAAAAATTTTAAGAGACGTGACATTACTCTGCAAAGTCCGACAGTTTGGAAAATTAAGCTTTTACTGATGAGTATTATATTGAGTAACTATCATACAAACAAATTATTAATTTTCATTATTTACTGTTAATTTCATTAACTTTCATATTCTAAACGTTACTTTTAAAATTAGAAAATCTATAACAATTTTAAATTTGATAAAAACATCGAAATTCAATTTTGAAATTCGCAATATCTGACAATAATGATGTCCTAGTTTACACCGAACACTTTGGCACAAATACTAACAAATGTTTACAGAGTTATATGTGTGTGAAGATGCGTTGTACTATTTTATTCGATCGTCTGTTTGATATATATAGCATCAGACCATATATACGCCATTGTTTACATCATCGAACTAACTTAATTTATTTCAAATATAGTTCTTAGTATCAAACGACTGGTATAATTTATATTAGGTCATAAAGGGCATTCTGATGTCAAGCATTCAATGTTAGCAGATAAACGCCTTATAGCTGATACTTTGCGATGTTCTGATAATATTCTGATACCATTTGATGCTTGGATTATATAGCCTTGGCCAAAATTATAAGGCACTTATATTTTTTGTTTAACTGAATTTTTTTATCTATATTATTTCCTATTGACTGACATACATAAATTTAAAGGATTCTTGATACAACCCATACAGCATCAAAGCTCTCCAGTAACATTTTGCAACGTCCATGCAATATTACAATGTTTCAATACAATGTTTCTGCGCGCAATCTATCCGTGTTGTATGAGAGATAATTCACATTTCATTTTATGCTTAAGTCCTTCCAGTTAAAAATATTAGAAAAATATATAAGGTATGTCTTTGGCCAAGGTTGTATATGAAAGCATTCTGATATTATATAAAATGAATTGCAATTGGACAAGATACGGATTCGACTTACTTATTGTACTCCTCTCTTGTGATGAGATTGTCGATCTTCTCTCGCAATACTCTGAAACACATTTTAAATGATGACTTATTCTTAAGACATTATTAACAAGCATAATCTTTTCTAACACGTACAGCATTTCATCTTCTCGCGTGGTATGGGTAGGATTATGCCCATATTGAGGAACGTCTCCTAGCATTGATTGACGAGTGTTTTCAGGTATTTCCCGCAGACCCGTATATTGGTCTCCAAAATCACCGATTAGTCGCAGCGGAGCAAGACATAGTGGGGTACGGTGCTGACGGTGCTGAGTACTGACGCTGCTCATTTCCGTAAAGCATTGTGTTATCATAGTGTGACCGAGTGGAATTATTAAAAGATTGATAACAATTTGATTTGGAGACATTAACATTACAGCTTCTGGATATGTATGGGTCTACAGAATCTGTTAAGCGCGTCGGCGGTAGTAGCGGCGTATATGTTTTTTCCGTGGTGTTTTCGGGCGCGACGGGACCCGTATCATCCGCTACGACCGGTTCCAGTGGCGTCAATCTGAATACTTGATTAGCATTGAGATGATTCGGATTGGCATTTTCGTCACTTAAGTTTCTTCGTAAGTCATTGATATCTTCATCAATATCTTTCTCGTTTTCCTTGTTGCTAGTAGTAATCTTTTTCCCAGTCTCCGGTTCAGATGATGTAATGTACTTTCTAGGTTTTTTGATAATACGCGATGGATGACCTTTTCTGCAATTTGAATTACTACTATAATTAAATAGTTTTTGAAATATCTGACAGTTTAGAAACTTTTTGGCAACAATAAATATATACATATAAATATAAACTCTTGATTCA